TGCGAGCTGCTGGCGGATGAAACTGATTTGGAGTGAGGAGCAGCTGACACACAGCCTGACCGCAGCACTGTTTCAAGATCAAAGGCGCCAACGCGGGCGTACATCACAACTCGACGCCTCGCTCATTGACTTGGAAGGTGAAAGTGGGACGGATGCTACCCCCGTGACTCACGGCAGCACCTCCTCGGCTCCCCCAGAAGTGGATTTACTGGGTGACATCAGTTTTCTTGACCCACTCAACACGAGCACAGCCTCGGCCAGCAGTGTTTCGGCACCGCCAGCCTCTGCCCCAATCGTGTCCACTCCGATGAGCAACAAGTTTGACAACGCCGAGGCTGCCGTGGAAACTTATCTGCGGAAGAAGCTTGGCCAAGAGTATCGCTTCGTTGTCACGATTCTCGATGCCATCAACATCTCGCCGGCCTACCGTGATGTTTTTGCACAGTTTGGATTTCAGTATCGCCAAGGCGGAACGGCCTTTTCAACAGAGGGCCTGCCCAACGATGGCAAGGCTATTGGTTTCTACCATGCACAGCAGCTTTGCGTCAAGGTGACTGAAGAATTCATCGAGTTTGTGCGTCGCGGCGTGCTCAAGATTGAACTCTATGGCCACTTTGAAGGGCATGTGCTCCACCAAGACTCAATTTTTGGCTCGAATGACAACTTGGCGGAGGTCGATGAGGATGCCTCGACGTCTCTCCTATCACCACAACCCTCGCCCGCCAAAGCAACCAACCTGTCAAGTCAAGTTAGTGTTGTTTTCTCACCTATGTTTCGGCTTCGGTTCTGGTTCTGGTTGTTGTTGTTGTCGTTGTTGTTGCTGGAACGTACTTGAAGCTGCTGCAACTAAACTAGGTGTACCCCTCCTCCATTTGCGCTTTCAGTTAAGTGCTATTCTTAGCACTGGGCAGCAGCTAAAGTCCTCGCGTGACAGCCAAGGGGTGTCGTCGCTGCCCGAGTATCCCATGCATGATGTCCTGACGTATGTCGAGGTCTGCGAGTTGGACACAGACGGCATCTATTCACCAGTGCTGTTGAAGCGTGAGGGCCGTTTCTTGACGGACCCGGGCTATTTCTGCTTGGAGCAAGGCAAGCAGCGACGCGTCCGCGTCCAGCTGCAGTACACCCGATCTGCCTCGCTCAATTGGCAACGCATTTTGGAAATGAAGATCAGCAATGTGCGCTGCGATCAGCACTCGCGTGGGGACAACAACACCTACCCCGTTAGTCTCAACATACTTCCATCTGAGACCAAGCATACCGTGCAGGGAGATATGGCTTCTTTGACTGTTGAGGCTGGCTGGGACTCCTCGCGTCACAACTCTGCCTTTTTGAATCGCAAGACACCGCCAAAACAGGTGAAAAAATATGCGCGTGCTCACGACTTGCCCGCCTTCCGCCGACCTTGCACACGAGTGTGACAATGTCTCTGGCTTTGAATGCGCTCATGACTGCTTTATGCCGAACCATGCTAGTTTGTTTTTGTGACGCTGACGCTGACTGTGGAGATTGAGAATTGTGAAGAACCTGCCACCTTCCAGCGCGACCTCTGTGTCAAGCTGTTTCCTGAACGGCAGACCGACAACGTCTTCTCGAGGTAGATATGCCTGACATTCGGCCCGTGCTAGTTTTTGGTGCTTCTGGTGCTACCTCACCTTTGGTTGATCTTTGAACAGCAGCGCTGATGTTCAGGAATAACGCCTCCTCATTCTCTTTTCTCGTTGACTTGCAGGTTCATGCGTGGTGGCGTGACGGATATCAACAAAGATTCGGCCATTTTCACGTTGTGCATGAGGCCGCTAGGCGACAAGCGACGTCAGACTCAGACCCCACAACGGCGCTATGTTCGCGGGGAGGAGAACTTGGGTAGCTTTCGTCCTCGCTCGGGCTCTCTGATTCAAGAGCACGAGAATCGGGTTGAAAGCCACCTTAAACTAGCGGATGTTGGTTAAGCGCCTTGGATTGCGCTTTATTACTGGGTCTTGTCGCTTGTCGTCGCACTGACTCTACGTGCGTGGCACAGGTGGAGCACATCCGGCAGGATTTGCTGCTGTTGGAAGAGCTCTCGCGTCTTCCCGAGCCCTCCACGCCATCAGACGCTCGCCAGCAGGTATGTAGTGCCAATAAGACACGCAATCTTGCATTGCTTCGTTGACTGACCTACCAACCTGCCCTTAGGAGCTGTTGGCGAAATATGTAACACTGTGGCAGCAGCCTTCGCTTTCTGCACGTTTGATCAAGGCCCCCGAGACGAGCCATGCTTCCCCCGAAGTGCAGTCCCTGGACGTTGAGGGTTTGTCCTGAGGCCCGATCTGATATGTTTGAAATTCGGAAGTCCTGGCCTAATATTTGTGCGCATGTCGTTGTTGTCGTAGCCGAGCCTTCCTCCAAAAAGTTTGTCCCAGATGTGGCTCTTGTTACCCTGAACCCGCAGTGTAGCAAGGAAGGCCCCATTGAGGTTCAAACCCCTGGAAGTGATCCTATGGGCCTCAACGGTGTGTGCCGACATGCAAACTCGCGAAGCAACATGCCAACTCTTGCCCTGCCAAACCCTTGGCCGGTGTTTGCTTGACGTGAGATGCTGTTTCCACTCACGGGCTTGACCTTTGTCTTTGTTGTGGGCTTGACGAGCTCAGCTTGGCAAAAATGCTATATGCAAATTCGCCGCCCGTATGTCATTCTGACCAAGGCCAAGACGGATTTCGTCATTCGCGAAGTGGTAAGTCGAGGACGACTTTTTTGGCACCGGCTTGTGTGACTTGTCTTTGACGATTGAGCTTTTTCTGGTATAGATGCACGTCGGGCAGTTGAAGATTCAATACTCGCACGAGCAGGCTGCCATGATGGGCAACCCCAACATCTTCACCCTTTGCACCCGCGATGTGGCCCGTAACGTCAAATGCGTATGTCCACCTTTCTGACCACACGCGTACTGCTGCTTTCCAGCAAAGTCTGATGTCAAGCCCCATTTGCTGCGTTTTGCCTCACGTAATGTCGGATGCCCTGCGATGATTTGATGGGCTGTAGCGCAATCGTTTTGAGATTGAAAAGTGGCTGGAAGCCCTGGACCCACTTCAGGTATCAGCACTGTTGTTGTTGTTGCTGTTGTTGTTGTTACTGCCTTTACATCAACAACAAACCTCTAACTCTAGGCATTGCTCATGCTTGAACGCTGTACCTTCGCGCCCGCTTTCACAGGCTAGCAGTATTCTGAGCCGGGAGAGTATGCTGACAGCTGCCAGTTCGCCCGCTGAGCCCATGGGGCGACGTCGCTCAGGCAGCGTTTTATTTTGAGCAAAGCCTATGCCCGTTGCTCACTGTATCAGTTCTCGTTTGTCGCCTGGTCCCATCTTGTTTTGGTTTTGGCTTTCTTTCTTCTTTCTGTTTCTTAAGCTGTTGTTGTGGTTGTTGTTTCGGGCTGGATGTGCTTTTTGCGTTTCTTTACTTCTTTCTTTTCCATTCATCCCGGGTCGTCATCCTGGGTCTCTGCTCGTGTAGCTAGTGCATCTGCTTTGTGTTTCCTGCTCTTTTCTCCTGTCCGACAGTGAGAGAGTGATTAGGTGTAGTGCTGTTGAACCCTTTGCGGCGCGCCCTCTTGCTTCTGGTGAGGACATGAGCCGCACGTCGGATCATAGCAACCCACCCCGGGCCCCACTCGGGTTCGTGGCGTGCTATGAGGCGCGCGCGGGTCAAATAGTGCACAATTTAGTCAAGAATTTACACCAACGGTCCGACGCGAATCGTCGACTGCTTTGCAGCGTGTGCAAACGAACGTTCGAAGAACTGCAGTAGTTCTCGGCCAAAATAAGACGACCCATCAAGCTCACCTTGATTTTATTGATTGTCAATATCGAATCACGGTTGCACTTGTGATCTGACCTAGTCTGGGTTCAATGAATGGGCACTGGAGCCCGGACTGTTAAGGTTGAAGTGATTTGCGTGGTTACGTAAGATACAGGGAGATCGAAGCCGTGAGGTTTGAGTCAGTGATACTGACGCGGATGGAGAGGGCCATCACGTCACGAGCCTGCATGTGCTTTGCAGGAAGGTACGGACTTTAAAGACTTGAAAGATCACACCCACACTCACACACAGAGAGAAATTTTACCGAAAAAAGGAGGAAAATTCCTCGAAAATTCCAATTTTGTTCTTCTGCTGTCAAACATCCCAGCATTCCATGATGGAAGCGCTTGTCGTTGACAACAACGTGACGGTCAGTGCGAGCCGGCGGTCGGGGCGGCGAACGAGGCGCTGTGAGCAGGCTTGATTGTCTGGGCAAGCCAGATCGAGTGAAGGATCCATCGTCGATATCTTGTCCTTAATTGGGGTGAATTGATGGTGTTAGGCGGTGCGCCAGCGCTTGGCGCAAGGAGCTGATCCTAATCAGCAATCGGCTGACGGCCACTCGCTACTCGCATTGGCCGCCTTCTGGGGGCACGAAGCCATGGTCAAGCTGCTGCTCGATCACGACGCCGACGTTGACATTCAAAACCGCAGCAACGGCTGGACACCTTTGCACGCCGCCTGCCTTCAAGGTGTGTCCAGTGCCATGTTTTTTGCGCTCTGTGACTAGAGGTGCCAAGCAACCCCCCCCCCAAATTGGTTGAACGGCGCAGCCTCACCCACTCTGTCATTGTTTGCTTGTCGTGGTCGAATTCAGGACACAGTCAAATCGTCTTTCATCTTTTGATGCAGGGTCCCAATCTGTCCTTGGCCGATGCCGCTGGACGTACAGCAGGTGGGCACCGTGATTTCTAGTTTGAAAAGAACGGGTGTAGTGACCTTCCACGCACGCTCTTTGGAGGCCAAAGACGCATACTCATGGTCACGTCAATCCGCAAACTGGTGTTCTTGGCTTCATGGCCGTGTCGTGCGTGCAGTGGACTTTGCCTCTGCTCTCGAGCCCGTGTGGCGTCATTTTGCTGCTGAGGGTTGTCGTCGCACGACCAAGCAGGAGCTCATTGCAAAGCAAATCATCTACAAGGTAGCGCAGCCATGGTTACAAACTGAAACGGCACCGTCTTCACCGCTAACCCATCTTGCCTGCTTTGTTCTGCCCTGTCTTTGCAGACTGACTACACGCCGGCAGCTGACCCCGATGTTCCCCAGCCATATTTCAATCGGCCTGGTAGCGCGTACGCCATGAACCCTCGCGTTCCACGGGCAGGTGAGTTGATTGATGCACCTTGCCGGGGGTCATTGCTGAACGACTCCGGACTGGGCATCATACTGCTTCACACGTCCTCATGACGGTTTCCGGTGTCCGAGCAGCTCCATCACGACTGGTGAATGAGGGGGACATCTTGGCTGAGGAGCCGTAGCTGGTGACAATGGAGGTTCTAGCGACACACGGCACTGCATAGATCTCTTCAACGTCCCATCCGGCTTGCTGCCCCAGGCCGCTGGAGTATCTCATGATCAATTAATGGCGAAGCACAGCCCTGCCAGAAAAGATTTTATTATGATCAAAGAAACAAGCACACCCACAGATCAACGTGCTGGGCATGTCGTTGTTGATTAAAGCGTTCAAACCTGATATTTTATGCAAGCCTATGGCGGCAAATGCTTTACTATTCCCTTCGTTACACCCTTCTCATGCTTCAGATACGGCGCCATTGTCGCACAAGCCTTTGACCCAATCAACGCATTGGATGCGCTCGCAGCCTGGGCAAAAGTTGGTGTTCTGGACCCGATAAAAAAGGACCAGCACCACCAAGAAGGCGAGCACCAGCGCAGGAAAGCAAATGACTAGGAGCAAGCTACCGGAGAAAAAAATGACACCAACCACAAAGAAACAATAAAAGAGCCAATGAGCAATACCTAGGGTCGAGCAAGAAGCATTCATTCTAAGACCTACCGCTTACGAAACTTGTCCCAAGCGCCGAACGTGACGTAGGGCAGGAAAACGATCCCGCCCAGCAGGCCAAAGAGAAAACCGCCCACGTGAGCGAAATTATCGAGCCAGGGCGTCGTGCCCAGCAACAATAGGACCGCGGTTTGGATCAGATAGGTACCGAGTTGCACCCATGGGGACTTGAGCAACCGCCAGCAGTGCATGAGGTCCACCAGGGCGGTGGCAACCAAGCCGTAGACTGCACCCGATGCCCCGACCTGTGCCGAGTTGGGTACAAAAAGAGCACTGACCAGATTGCCGCCACAGCCTGAAATAAGGTAAATCAGAGCTATACGTAGCCACCCGGCCTTGCGTTCAAGTGGCACGCCCACACTGAGCTGCACATAGAGCATCACCAGCAGGTGGATGGCCCCGGCGTGCATGAACAATGCCGTGAGAATGCGCCATCCCTGGTCTGGATTTTCAGCTGAGCCTCCCGGTCCACAGCTATCCCGCAAGCAATTGACCTCGCCACAGCGCTGCGCCTCAGGGTGATAGGTGCCACCTAATGCATCGCAGTAGCTACTGGTCACAATGGCACACGTCCCGTTGTTGTGCAGGCAGCACGGCGCGAGTCGTTGATCGTCACAGTTGGAAGCACACACGCTTCCAGCACCCAACCAAGTGGCTGGACAATCATACTCCAAAGTCACACCACAAGTCACAAACGCAGATTCGTTGCCTGAGCGTCGCTCGCAGCAGCCGTATAATGTGGCCTCCGCCTCGGTCTGTGTTGCGCGGGCGACTTGCACGCTGATGTCGTTTCGCATGCACGGCGCAAACTTGGCTCCCCCGTGCCGGATCAGAAAGCCATCGTCTGGGCCCAGGAAGGGATTTCCAGGTCGGGCAATGGTGAGGTCGTAGACCACCTGGTCAAATCCGAGAGCCACCGACACGGTGTCTTGTTTCACGCTCATTCGCATGGGCTTGATGCCGCCTTGGAACATGGCATAACCCGTCAGGACGACCTGCACCAAAGTCACCAGTTGCAGAAACCAAGGGCTGAACTGCTGCATGCCCACGAGCTCATAGGCCGGCTCCTGTCCCTTGTCGCGACGTAAGCGCGAGGTGTGAGCATTCGAAGAGTACGCCTGGTACGGCGTGCGTGCTCGCGGTACCTGGCCTTCAGTGGTGGCTGTAGGCGGTGGGCGGGGCTCATCCACGTCACTGCTTGTCAGCAGTTGGTCAAATTCATCCGGTTTGCGCTTCGAGCAGGGCTGACCGAGGGTCACAGGCAGCCCTTCGCGACGTTCTGAGTAAAATGCCACCAACGTATCCAAATCGTGGAAGGGAGGACCGTCGTCGATGGTGTATCGCGCAGCGACAGCCGTCCCAGCAGATATAAGGAACTCACTCACGCGCCGATCATGAGCCAAGCTCAAGACAAAGTCCTCAGAGCCGGGCTCTGAGCGGATCAGAAAGAGACCATCATGCAGGCCGTATGCGCGGAGGCGTCGCTGCGCGCGAGCAGCATCCAGCTCGCCATGGTAATACTCGGCTTCGGGCCGGGCAGCACGCGACGGTGGTCGGCGCGGGGGCGCGTCTGTATGTCCAGCCAAAGCCACGCGCCGCATCTGAAGTGGTTGTTCATCGCCAACACCGAAGAAGGTGGAGAGGCGATGGGACACGCGCCTTGAGGCTCGACGCATTAAATTGGTCTGGCGGCTCGAACGCTCGAGCGTTCCCGCCTCGGCTTCGGCCGCACCAAGGTCATAAAACTGGTGTGTATCACCATCCTGGCCAGCCTCAGACACCAGCAGCGGTGTAGCCTCGTCCTCCCGTCCCGGCGCCATCACGCCACGCCGCCCTTTTGCGAGCAACCTTCAAGAACAGCACTTGAATGGTTTTTTTTTTGTGGGGGAGGTGTTTGATGAACAAAAAAATGTGATAACAAAAAGTGTCAGCCTCTTTGAGGTCGGTGAAATAAGACAGTGTGTGCTCACGGTATCGATTAGCACTGGGTGGGATAAGTGGGTGAACGACAAACACGCGGCCAGCACGATACGAATTTTACAACACGACACGACACAAGACACAGACACAGACACAGACACAGACACAGACACAGACACAGACACAGACACAGACACAGACACAGACACAGACACAGACACAGACACAGACACAGACACAGACACAGACACAGAGCAGAATAGAACTTCAGCGCAGAACCAAAATCAAAACCAAAACTAAAGTGAACAGAAAATAAAAACTAGCATTCAAAGTATACAGTAGTCTCCAGAGACAGCTAGCACGCCTTTTGGAGGAAGGCGAGGCTCGCGTACTCGGGCGACCAAATCAAGTTTACACGTCAAAGTCATCGTCAAAATCATTGGGGGCGTCAAAGTCATACGTGATACCATCCGGCTCCTGTCCGTAGTTTGAGTCGTAGACTGGGTTCAGAGCTGAACCTGGATGGGGTCGCTGTGGTTTGACCTTGGTGGCCTCATTCGAGGCCATATCATATTCAGCCCCGGCCCCAGAATCATTGTCTACGGGCTCCAGCATGAGCACTGTTGGTTGCACAGCTGCAGGCGTGGCCATGGCTGCGTCATAAATGGCGTGGTCCGATGAAATGGACTCGCGTTTATGAAACTCCATGCGGGTAGGTTCATCAGCGCCGGTGTTATCATAGTCGTCTAGTGCAGCCTCTTCAAACATGGCATTGTTCACGAGCCAGTCGGCCACGCCGCTGCGCAAGTGACCATCAGCGGAAGCCATGTTGGCCGTGGTGGCCTTGATAGCTCGGCTATCTGCATCCTCACCATCGTTGATCACATCCAAGGCATGACCTAAATATGCGCACATCCCAATTGAGGTAAGGCGTTCGCCGGATACACAGCTATGCTGGGGCCGGCGCCACACTCGCAAGGTGTGATCATGACCACACTCGCAAGGCTTTGCGCGACATACCGCTCTCGTCCTCACAGCCTTGGTTGGTGACGCGCGCGAGCAGGGCCAATAAAGCCGGAAAGTCCTGTGGGACAAAGCAGATCGTTCAATAAGCTGAGTTTCCGAGAAGATGCCCAAGCGCACGCTCCTCTTGAGTCAAGAAAACCATTGCCTTAAACGTACCGGACGATGATCCGGATCTTCCTGCCAAGTCAGAAGCATGATATCGTAGATGGCTTGGTTGGCTTGTGAGGGTTTCGGCATACGGTACCCGCTACGCAGCAGGTCCAACATTTGCCCGTTTGAATCTACACGCCCGAAAGCAACATCAGGCAAGTGAGCAGCGTTGACAACTCTTTAAATGACATGAAAATCACTTGGAGTCTTGGTGATAAGTGTCTTGAGCGACAGGGTGAAGATGAGCTTGCATCATCCATCTCCAGCAAAAGGCACGTACATGTGGGATAGGGGGTTCCTCCCAATGAAAATATTTCAAAGCACGTCACACCAAACGACCACACGTCTGACTTGGTCCTGCGGGAATCAATATGCAAAGCATCAAGTAAATTGTCAAACACACCCTCGACGGCCAGAAACGGGGTGTCGTGGGAATTGACAGGCTTATGCACGTACGTATAAATGCGATCAGCCAAACTTTGAATGTCCATCCATTTGATGGGCAAGCGTGTGGCTGTGGTACGGTATTCTACACCAAGTTTCATGGTGATGGGTATTCACGGACATTTGCTTTGAGTTTGAACGCTGAGGCAAAGCTTGTCTCAATCACGGGCATGGGACGTAGGAAGCAGCAGGCAAGTACTCCACTTTGGACTCACCGTCGTGTTGGCGTGACATGCCAAAGTCAGCCACCTTGCAATGCAGACCTTTACTGACCAGCACGTTACGCCTGCAATGCCACACATGAGCAATAGGCTTGTGTGTGAACGAGCCTGAGTGCTCAAAGGGGCGGGCCACCCATTGACACTAGGATCCGAAACTTACGCTGCAAGATCGCGGTGCAGGATGCCTTGTTGGTGCAGATGTGCCATGCCACTGCAGATCTGCATCGAAAACTTGCGAAGCTGCTCGAATTCGAATTGCTATGATCGCAAGAACGAACACAAGGCAAGGTGGGATGGGAAATCAAGGAACGGAAGGTCAAGGATTGTGAGTCTGTATGCTTTTGTCCTGCCAAGCGCTTGCGTGCGCCGGCCAGCGCACGCACCATGTTAGAACTCGAGGCGCGGCTGGCGCGCAGCAAATCACGGAGGTTGCCGTGCATACACAGCTCAACCAACAACAGGTAGGGCTCATCCAAGAGGCAATGTCCAATGATACCCAGGACATTAGGATGCCCGTTGAGCTCCTTCATCAGATGAACCTCATCCAAAAATTCTTGCCGGTCCTCCTGGGGATGGATAGACAAGCCCCAGATGAGAGGATCACGAGGATTAAGAGGGTCAGCGGATGCAAAGAAGGCCGCGACGCTTTCATGTTCACGTCACAGCATTAGCAAATACGAGATAAAATTGGTGTACGTCTAGACGTTGACTCACATAGGCTGCGCCAGTCTTCAGGGTTTTGACGGCAACCAAGCGGGCGTTGGTGCCTGGCTCACGGTAGTATGCCTTGAACACTTCACCAAAAGCCCCCTCACCTAGATTGGTGAGCCACACAGCAAAGCGGACTCATTGAGCGAACTCATTGGCTCCAGACGCCAATCACCTAGCCCAGAGCAACTTACCGAGTTTCTCATCCAATTGTACACACTTGCGCTGAATTTCGAATTGATCGCCACTGACAGCGCTGCCATGCTCCATGTCCCCCTGAGAGGCGCAAAACGCACCAAGAAATTTCACCACTCATGAGTGTGATGGTTGCGCTTTGGGCACGCAAGCAGAACGCAGGTGAGCTCACCTTATTTGGAGAACCGCGTCGTCGTAAAAGGATAAAAACGATGATCAGGACCAAGACCAAACCGCCAGCCACCGCGGCAACAACAATAATAAGTGGAAACTCGGTTGAACCCTGTGATGGCATGAGATGAGAACAGGATTGACACGAACATGCGTAAGTCATTTCATTGCAAACCACGGAGAAAGCTTGAGCGTTCCGGTTTTGTGTCGTCATCAAATCAAGTTCTCCATACCTGTGCTTCATCATTGCTTCCTCCGGCCAACGGTCCCCGCGACGTCGAGGATGTAACAGGTCCAACAGAGGCCGTTGGCACCACGCACGGCGTGCAGTCCACGCACGGCTCAAACGAGTAATTTGTTTGATCAATGTTGACCATTGGTCCAAGAATTAGCCCAAGTTGTGTGGCAATTGTCCCGCTGCTAACAGCTGCCTCCATGGCGCACACCAACGAGTTTGAAGTGTCTTGATTATCAACGAAAAACTCAATCATGATTGATCCTTCTGTCACGGATAGAATCTGTATTTGCGACTGAGAGATGGCCTGACCCTGGCCAAGCTCTGAGTTGATGGCTGTAGCTGCAGCTGTTTTGAAGGTCAAATCATTGAACGAGTTGAAGTCCCAGCCCACCAGCCTCAAAAGGGCACGCGATGCGGTTCTTGGCACGGCAATTGTCGTGGTTGTAGTTGTAGTTGTAGTTGTCGTTGTCGTTGTCGTCGTCGTAGTAGTCGTAGTAGTTGTCGTCGTCGTAGTCGTCGTCGTAGTAGTAGTCGTAGTAGTTGTCGTCGTCGTAGTCGTCGTCGTCGTCGTCGTAGTAGTAGTAGTAGTAGTAGTAGTAGTAGTAGTAGTAGTAGTAGTGGTAGTAGTTGTGGCGACAGTTGTGGTCGTGGCGACAGTTGTGGTTGTTGTGGCGGCAGTGGTTGTCATGGTGGTCGTGGCGGCAGTGGTTGTTATGGTCGTAGTTGATGTGGTTGCAGGTGTTGTTGTGGTTGTGGGCATGGTGGTCGTAGTAGTAGTTGTCGTTGTAGTGGTGGTGGTGGTGGTGGTTGTCGTCGTCGTCGTCGTAGTTGTAGTCGTTGTGGGTGCCACTCGGCAGCCATTGACCAACTTGGCCGATTCACCAGCCTCGCCAGTTGCGACAAATCCTGGTGGACAATAACACTTATATGTGCCGGGAGTATTGTTGCACACGGCTCCAGGATAGCCACACGCCCCCTGATAGCTACACTCATCCAGGTCACTGCAGCCCGTGGTGCCATTTTCAACATAGCCATATGCACATAGCCCACACGAAAAGCCGCCCACAGTGTTGAAGCACTCGCGATGCTCGGAACACATGCCTAAATCACACTCATTTACATCGCGGCACGTGTAGCCCTCGTCCTCCGTGGTGTAGCCATTCGGGCAAGCCCCACACTCGGCAGTCAAGCCGTCGTCACCGACGGTGCAGGTAACCAAAGGATCGCACGGGGAGGGTGAGCAAGCGGTGCCCGGTACACACGTAAAATCTGCGATCCAACCCTCTGCGGTGCAGGTGTACGTTGGCTGGCCTTGTCGCAGATAGGTTGCATCGCAGTCAGCACTACACGTGCCGTTCTCGCGATTCTGAAAGCACAGGCCCACCAAGAGTGAGGAGTGTGGTTCGGGGTTCGTCGGGCCCGCTCGATTGCACTCGATCACCGTGCATCCATTTGCACCGTCGGGCATGAGTCCAGATGGACAAGGGCCGCACGTGAATGAGCCGCTGGCGACACCAGGGGTACAACTACGGCCGTCCAGGCAAGGATTCGTTGCACACCCATCAATATACGTGGTCGTTACCTGCGTTGTTGTACTCGGTTGTGGCGTGGTGGTGGTAACTGTAGTGGTAGTAGTGGTGGTGGGTGCCGGCGTTGAGCTTGGGATGGGTTCACATTGGCCGGCAGTCAGGATAAATCCCGGTGCACAGTCACACTCAAAGGTAGTGCTGCTATTGGCATAGCAGGTCAAATCATGTGCGCGGCACGCGGCTACGCCATCATTGGTGACGCAGGGGTCACGCAGCTCAAAAAGCGTCAGTGTGAAGGCGTTTGTGCCCCCCGTGGTACCCTGAATGACCATGTCATTTGTCCATACGGTGAACGTCACGGATGCAGCCTGGGCTGCTGCTGGCAGCGTGATCGTGTTGGTATATGAACTGCTAAAAGAAAGCTTAGCCAGTGTCATAAAGTTGATGCCACCATCCAAACTGTAGGCAAAGGCACCATACTGGGTTCCAGACTTGCAGGCCTGGAAGGTTATCCGGACGCTGGCGGCAAACCGCGTATCAAACTCACGCGAAATGAGCATGCGTCGCTGCAAACTTTGGAAGCGAACACCCATGGTGTTGGAGCAGGCACTGTTCCCCGTCGAGTCCAGAGTGGCTGAAAATGGCCGCGCATGCAAAGCACAGAGGCAGGCGAAAAGTGAGCTGACCGCAAGTCGCAAAAACAAACCAACAACAACAATAACAAAAAAACAAAAACAAAAATAGAAAACAAAAACAAAAACAAAAACCCCAATTTAGCATGCACTCGAAAGCAGGGAGGTGAATAAAACTTACTGCCAGCCGACATGCGGATCAAATCACCCAAGGCGGGGCCGGCGAGCCTAATACCGGTGAGAAGACGGTTTCGGGACGTGCAGGCCGGCCCGGTAAAGCCGTCGTCACACACACAACGCGGCCCAGGCATGCAGCGCCCCCTGTTGTTGCACATGTTGGGGCAAGAAGGCCCAACGTAGACATTGTCGATGGCAAAGGTTTGCGTGTCCAGATCTTCCTTCTGCCGCACGACCACCAAGGCTTCAGCGGCCGGATTCAAACCTAGAGGATAGCTAAACCGGGTAAAAGTTGGGGCTTGGTTGGGCGCGATGGTCGAGTGGTAAAACCATCCGGATTGACAGTTTAAATCGGTATCACAGCCTGCATCAAGCTGCGAAAAGGAGGTCAGGCCATTGTCAAAGGAAGTTTCAACCTCCAGCACGACGCTGGCTGAGCTGTCGTTGCAGCCCACGGTGAGATCAAATTGAAACATGTACGGAATCTGTGGTGTGCCTTCAACCGACACATTGGCAATGAGCCAATAGTCATTTGTCTCCGAGTAGACGTGCTGGATCCACCGCAGGGCGGTGTTGGTTTGCATCGCAGCTGGAGCCACATCGCTCAGTAGCAAGCTGTATGCCTGAACGCCGACATTACTATATGCAGTCAAATCTTGCCAATCACCTCCAGCGACGCTGTACTGCAAAAAGCTGTCACAAGACGCAAAAGAGGAAAAGGTGATTGTGAGCTTTGACAGCAGTGTGGGCATGTGTGAGTGGATGATCTGCAGTTATGCAGCATGCTGAAAAGTGGTATCGCAACGGGCTTGGCAAGAACAAACAAAAACCAAAAAACAAACAAAAAACAAAAACAAAAACAAAACACCAAACAGAAACGAGCAAATATACCACAGGTGCAGAGGGCACGCACATTCGTTCATCACGGATAGTGTTGACTTCCACACCATCACATCCCGAGGCGCCGACGCTCAGCACAAAATTGAGCTTGAGGCCGGGCGAGGTCAGATCCAGAGGCACTGTTTGTAGCACGCGAGGCTCTCCCGTGTCCAAGCCAAAGCTATAGGCTGGCAGGGCCAAGCTGATGCCACAAGTGGGCGTGGTCACTACTGTTGCCCCGGCTACTTGCTCAAAGCTGTCCGTGTCCTCGAGATGGCTCTGATTGGCCCGAAGTAAAAAACGATGGGATGGACGAAGGCGCATGATGGGGGACTCAAAACTATGCATGCTAGCCTGGCCCTGCGACCTCAGAAGCACCACGCCAGCGTGGTCACAGTAGCTCGACTGCTGTCCACCGCCCACAAAATTGAACACGCTGGCTTGGGCGGGCGTATCGAAGCTGCTTGCGACGTCCTGGGGATAGTCGAGTGGATCGAGGTCAGGTCCAAAGTAAATGTTGTCCAAAGCCCAATAATAGGATGACCAATAAGGAGCATTGTATTGATAGATGATGAAGCGCGTGGCCGCTGTACGTGCCGCCTCGGGCAAGAGGATGGTAAAAGCAAAGCTGCTGACAATAGGCAAGTAGTCGATAAAGTGCCACAGATGACCTCCGTCCAGGGAGTAAGCCAGCACGGGTCGCGCCGAGTTTTGGGTGTAGCGCCCACAATACGAACCCTGGGCCACGTAACCTTGGAGATAGCGGAGCGAGCGCGCATCCATATCCACAGTCATGGCAAAGCGAAAGCGGTCGGCTGAATTGCGAAAGTAAAGGTTGGCGGCATCGGCCAAAAAGGCACAGCTTTCCACCGTGGGATAGCCTCCTCGCAGGTCGGCCCACGTGGACGGCAGGATTTCGTCGTTGAAGTCGTCACGGAAGCCTGTACGCAATGCGTTGGCCACGGGTACACAGCGGCCGTCCACAAGCTCAAAACTTGGATCACAGACGCACGTACCAGCTTGGCAGGACCCATGTCCACCGCACGGTGCTGCAGAGCCCGGCACTGCACACTCCGAACCCAAATAGAGGTTGCGCAGGCGATAGATTCGGCCGGGGGAGTTGATGTCGGAGGAGACTGCAGTGTACACGAAGCGCAGACGGATGTTTTCGGCTTCGGGCAGAGCAAACGTGAGACGTTGCCAGCCAAAGGGCAGGCGCTCTGAATACAGTACGCCGTAGTTCAGGGAGAACACGTTGCATGTGGTGGCGCTTGGGGCACATGCCGAGGG